CATTTGAGTTTAATGCCTTTTTGATCAGTTATAGTGTTATATAGTTTCCTTGATAACATGAAACTTGTCATCCTATATCGTTGTTTGCTTTATATGATTAGTTACAGCAGGGTCAAGAGAGGAAAAGTATAAGAAAGGTCTTTAGATATAAAAGCTAGTTAGCTTGAGAGTAAATTGGTACAGTTTGAATAAGGATGACCTTAAGGAAAAAATATGCAAATTTTTGTGAGCGATTAATTTTATTTTTATTTTTATTTTTAATCTTCACGGGTTTTGCCGTGGCTTGCTTTTTATTAAAATGTGTATAAGAACTATATACATTTAATTTATAGAACTCTGAGCCCAACTTTACTCGGTTACCTTATGGTCCTAAATGCAACCTGTTGCACCAGTTCGCGGACAAACCAGAATTATCTTATCAAAAAATCTATAAAAAAAAGAAAACGACTTATAACTAAAAAGGAGATATGAAAGGAGGAATAGGGGAAATGAACAAAATATAAAAATAAAAAAAAACCCAAAAAAATAAAAAAATAAAAAAAATAAAAAACATTTTATAGATAACAATTCGAGAGGGATTTCACCTCTCTACATGACCAAAATGCACTATTATAACCTGTACAAGGCTAAAAAATTATATAACAAATACAACAATTGTATATCTCTAGTGTAAAGCTTCATCTTAATGTATAAAGTTCTTCCGACTTATGACCACCTTCAGATATCTTTTTAACTGGAGATCCCGATCCAACTTCTGGAGTAGTGCCGTATTTGTAAACAGACACGTCATGTGGTTGCATTCTACTAAGTCCATCTGAATTTGGAAAGTAAACAATGCCGATCTTTTGGAGGGGTAAGCCAAATCCCCACTTTTTGTAAAAAATTTTAGAAAACCGATGGGAGGGCAAGAGTAAGAAAGAGGAGAGTCACCAAACCCAAAAAAAAGAGTGCAGCTTTAGAAAAAAGAAAAGTTTTGTTGTTTCCCCTGTGTTCTTTTTTGAAGTAACTGTCTAAGAACTTCGTTGATAACAGTAAGCTCTTTGCCCACTCCACCAAGATTTTTTATACAAGGACACCTCCTGCCAGTTATCTTGTATAATAATGCTCTTGGCTTGCATGCCAAATGTCGACTTATAGAGAAGTCCTGAAACACAGCTAACGTTGACCTCTAGACAAACCGTAATATAGACCACAACTCTCCAACAAAAATTTTTTGTTTTTCTATTAGTAGGACAATTTGGTTTTAGTGATTGTTGAAAAGAGTTTTAAATTTGTGAGCGATTATATTTTAGATTAAATACTTAATTTGAAATAGAAAATGTACATATTCGATATTTTCATGGAAGACATATCTTCCAATTATAATCATGATTGAATTTTTTTCAAAGTCGGTTATTAAAGACTCTGTATTTGTGGTAAAACCTTTGTAGGTAATTTCTCTATATTCATCATCATCATTGATACGGTACAAAGCATATCCAGTTATGAATTTATTGTTGCTGCTAATTGTTTTAACAAAGCAGAATGCGACAAGAAAATTAAACCCAGAAAAATTAAAAAGAAAATACTAAGTAACAACCAAAAAAATAAATATAACCTATTAATATTCAAGTATATGTAACCAATTTCAGTAACTTACGAACTACAAGCCCCCCTAGTTCGCTCTGAAATTATATTAGGGAGGATATTTTTTTGAAGATAAGTATATATTTAGATAAGTTATAATAAATGATAAACGTTCAATTGTTGTTTTTTCCTTTTTAGATAGGGTAGTATGTGACCAATCAAAGTCGCGAATTTTTTGTTTACACGGATCAGCCCGACGAATTAAATTTAACGGTTCCAAAAAATAGGAAATCAAATTACAGTCAGGTTTTGTATCAGTTTTGCGAGGTTATCAAATTTGAAACATTTAAACTATTAGATTTATATAACGGTAACAGACTTGATAGATTAATTTTTATCAGATTTGACAGGTTATCGGTTTTGAGAGGGTCGACTGTATTAATAACTTATTTATAAAATACAAATTAATTGGTCTAATTCAAAAATTAGATTAGCCCATATGTATTGAATTTTTATAGGTAAATGTAACGATGCATTTTTAACGAAAGTAGCTTACTAAGAAATTTTTTTTTGCTTTAGCAGCATGTTCTAGTTTAATTTTTATTTGAAAAGAGAAAACTTCGCTCATTTCACGAAATATGAGATATATTTTATTTATTTTATAGATGTTTTCATTTTAATTAACTAATTCAGAGAATTTCATTTGTAGAAATATCTTGCGTATCATACAATGATGGTAGATGAATAGCAATAAGCTTAATATCGAAACGGAATACAGGATCCGAGTCGTAGATGAGTACAGTTGTAGATTACATGAGGAATTTGTTACTTTATTAGGGATATTTTAGTAATTTAAGAAAGGTAAAAAATAAATATAACATTGAATATTTTCAGGAATTAAGCAAGACTGGCATAAAAATTGAGGTTTAATACTGGCGAATATTATCATTGGGACACTGTATGCGATGCTAAACGGTCGATAATAATTTAAGTAGCGAAGCAAGTTTTTTGCGATTGGTTTCTTAAAGAGGTATATAATTCACAAACAAAAGTATTCTTTAACTTTAATGATAGATTGATGAGACAGATAACGATTTAACAAATTTTTTTTTAAAATCATTTTTCGATCGAAAAAATGGTATGGTTTAGATTTAATTCAGACTCGAATAATAATAAGGCATTTAAATATTTATTATATGTTACGAATGAGTGAAATTTTTATCAATAAGGTACTATAGAAAAAAGAAATATAATTTGGATCTCATAAGAGTATTATTTTCGCTTTAATAACAATCATTTCATTGTTTAATCAGATCATACGATACTGGCGATAGGAATAGTAATCATTCGAATTTGAGATAGTAATCTTCAGTGGATTAAGATAATAATACTCATGTAGTGTCTATTTTCAGGTAATCTGATTAGAGTTGTTCATAGCAGAGTAGCTAGAATTAAGATCATGGTCATGACATATATTCAATTTCGTAACACTTTGTCTTTCCTTTTATAGGTAGGTACTTTTCTAATTGATCTAACTTAAAAAGTTGGTTTGAATGCATAGCATTAGAAGAACCCGCAGCACAAATTTGAAAAAGATTCGGGAGAGTCAATTTTAAATAATTTATTCATCCCTCTTAATATGCAATATGCAACCACTAGCCATATTATTAGAGTAGGGTTAGGATTAAGGTTGGGCTTAGAGTAAAATTGCGAGAGGAATGAGAAATATTATATGAAGATTAAAAATCACCCTGGGTGATGAATAAATGTACTCTAAAATTTTTATATTTATACTTATTTATACTTCAAGTATTTTTAGTATCATTAAATTAAATTTTTTTTACAATTTTTAATTAAAAATCTTTACTTAGTAAAAAATTTTATTAATAACAACAAAGGAAAATGTCCTATACCCGATACGAAATAAAGCCGGCACCCAAATTTCATCATTTATTTCTAACGAGTTTAAATGATTTATTCTTGAAAAATTTAGAAATAGCGTCATTGAAAAATTAATGACTTAGAAATTTCATATGAAAACGGCGAGATGCTAAAAAACAGGTTAGTTAATATGTAATAATGATACAATAAAGAAATTGCGATCTTACTCGGGAATGAGTAATACAAAAACCGAAGAATAATTGAAGATTCACGGAGGCATATGAAAAGGGGAAATCTCATCTAAATGTCTAAAAAGGAGAAATTAGGTTAAAATTCTGTTCTTTGTAAAAATAACTTGCGTGTACTTAGATCTCTTCTATCCAGACTAATTCGCATGTCGATGTCTTAAAATTATTAATGCAGTGTAATTAGAATTTAATTCTACGATAAATGATATTTACGGCCCTCCATAATACTTTCGAACATTCTTTTTCATAAACACACATACTCAATGTACCAATTTAGTAGTACATTATTAGGTATACAAATTTAGTCGAATACCTGTTAGTTCCTCAAACTATGTAGTCAGTAATTATGTTATAGTGCTGCGAATTACAGCAATCACGGTGTTCAACTATCTTTAGGTATTTAAAACACGTATTTTCGAGATCCCTTGTAAGATATTCACAGGTTCATCCAGGATAGCATTAAAAAATTATCTCAATATGCATGCATAAGATTCTAAATTTGAACCTGACTTAATTTCGGTATACGTAATATAATTCTGGCCGCTAATACTGTATAACATTACACGGCGTATAAATTTCGATCTGATAAATCGATTTACAGTATATTGGAGTAACTAATCACATAAACACCCACGCTTAAAAAAAAATCACTACTACAGTTTATATCGAAAGAATATTACACATATTGCGCTTCACTATGTATAGTCGAAGTTTGATAATTCCATGATTTGAGATTCTTCCACTATATTGAATTTTTCATATTGAAAATTCATTACAACGAGAATAAATTGTGTATGACACATAGATTATGCGCCAAAATTTCACAAGGATTTTTAGTTAGTACGTAGCTACACGAATATCATTGTGTATGCATCATGCATCTTATTTGATTATGCATTAAAATGCCTAATTAGTTCACAAGAAAAAAAAAAAAAAAAAAAGAAAAAATCTAATCATTTTTACATTTTGCCTACTGAGTTTGAAAACATGATTTACACAAAAAAATTCTCAAGACTTTTATCAAATTTGGAATTTATTTTATGTACGGTATAAGATATATATTAGGATTTAACTGGATTTACTATAAGAAAAAATATAACCCGTGTCAAAATTTTATGATAAATTGAGTTTGTATAAAAAGGACAATTGCAAAAATAATTCCGTGTAATCCCAGCTTTTGTAATGGCAATATTGCTTGCTACTCTTTATAATTCGGTCCGATCACCGATTTTAATGCACTTACAATAATATTTAAGCATAAAAATTTCACCTTTCCTTTTCATAAATCGTAATTTAGAATTAGATATGTTAACCCAATTACTTTTAAGATTTCTCGTTATAATCTGGTCTTTCCTCTTTTTACTTGAGTGTGCTATTGTAGAGGCTCGTTTAATCGATGGTAGTGATAATAATGTTATAGATCCGACCGCCGGGGCTCCGCAGCAACCTTTTTTAAGGTCTATCAGTTCTCTAAATTTTAAGTAAGATGGTCAATCCTCATACATGAATATAAATCTATTTTTACAATATTGGTATATAATGATAAATAACTGTTGATTTATAATTTAGTTCGGATCTTTCACCGGTAACATCTCCTACTGATTTCCTTGGTCTGAACCCGAATGGGTCAACAACTATTAAGTGTACCGATAAAGTACCTCCCGGCATGTATCCCATGCCACGATGTATATCAAATATAATGTGCAGCTATCATGTTCAACCCTATGATTTTAACAAGTTATCAAGTTATCGTTCGTTCAGGCGGACTAATCATTTTGTAAGTTATACATAACGATGAATTTATAATAATTTTACTTTCACTGAATTCTAATTTAAATTGTATTTACTGTATGTAATAGATTACTTTTTTTGGTCAATTTATTGTGGGTGACATCGCGTTATCGAAGTCCACGAATCCAACATACCCCATATTCTTACCGGCAGATGACCCGTTGTATAATCCGAATTCAAATTCTACCGATATTACATCTCCATACCAAATTAATGTACCTTTTTTACCTGCCAATCGATCTGATGGTAACAATGATACTAATCCGGCAACAAGGAATCCCCTTCTTAGTGGAAAAAATCTTGTCACCCCCTTTCTTGATCTAAATAATATTTATGGTACTAGTGATCAAGATGCGATAGATAGACTTCGTAATACTTCGTCTAATAGAGGGAAATTAAAGACTTCTATTATTAATGGAGAGCATTATCCTCCAAAAAATATATCTACTGGAAAATATATTTGGGGTGCTTATTCGGAGGTTTCGTCTAATATATTTACTTTAGCTATCCAGACAATATGGATACGTGAGCATAATCGATTGTGTGATGAATTATATCAAAAATATGGTGATTCCTGGAGGTTGGAGAAGTCTTTTAAACTCTACGGTTACAGCTTTAGATTCAGACATCGAAAACACTGGCGTAAGAGTGGGATCTTGATTAGAATCACGAAGGGGTGGGTGGTAGCCACCCACGTCAGCATGATAATTTTCTAATGTGACGTTTCCATTAGTTACCTTAATAAAATTAAAAAAATTTTTAGATCATAAGCTTTATAAACTATATTTGTATTTGTATAATACTGTATATTTCAATGCAACTTACAATGCCAATAATAAATTCTGCTCCTTTCATTCCATCATCATCAGGACCAAATCCCTTGTAATAAATAATACAATTAATGGGTTAATATAAGTGATTATTTAAACCAAAATTTTATTTCTTGGTTCTTAACCAATAAAAATAGAGATAATATAAACTCACCATTCCGAACCATCCATTGCCATCAGATGTTTGAAGCTGAACTTTGAAGTATACAAATACTAAATCAACCCTATAACTTATAATATATTGCGTCCAACAATCAATCTTATTTGGGTAATTATCATCATCACTATTATTAAGTTTAATTTGAGGTTGAACGGCCCAAATATTTTGTGGGAAGCTTATATTGTTATTAAGATTACGAATAATAATGTCTCGGATTGTTGTATTTCGTATAATTTTTCGTTCATCATCATTAAACATATCAGGATTCTCAAACCAAAATTTATCAGAATCTCGAATGAGCGTATACTTAAAACAATATAACAATAATTTATTAATATAAAATTACAATAAATAATTAAGATAAAATATTCATAATAATAAAACAATGTAAATTACCTGTGTTACCATACTTGCATTCATAACCATGCCAAAGTTTGAACCATTTAAATGATTTTCACTCATTACACCAATAAAAGCCTCCACAGAATCAACACCTAAAATGACAATTTTGTAAACTAGTATTCATAGTAAACTTATTAATAATACAATAAATAGTAATATTCACCATTTGGATAGATTTTAGCCAAATTTGCTTGAGTATTAGGGTTTGAAGAAATATCAGCGAATGAATTAGCTTTAGGAAAACCATAATATTGTCGCGCTATATTATACAAAGGAATACCTATAATGATATATAAACATTTTTCTTAGAAAGGCTCAATAAAAAAACTCAGGAATTTCACTATTAAGAATCAAAAATTCGACCCATCGAATGACATCATTCAACACGCCATTCGATACCATTTGACATGCATTTTAACAGGTCGAATTTTTTGATTTTTACTAGTATTTAATAATCAAATAGATGTTTTACCACGATCTCTACTACTCCAAATATCAAAGGCAACCAGATCATAAGTATTTTTATCAGGGCCAATATATTTTTTAGTCGAGTCAGAAAAGAAAATATCAACTTCTTCTTGACGTTGAAGAACTAATGACCAAAGTACTCTATCTAGGCCAAGTTGTTCTAAAAGAGTGAGATTTTTAAGATCGTTCAAAGCCAAATCATAAAGGGTATCACCATATTCATCTTGAATTCGGTAAAAATCACTAAATAGTTTCAAAAAATTTATTAGCCACATTTCGATAAAAATTAATAACATGTAATATTAACCTTAATTCACTATGACCATATCGGAATGTAACAGTTTGAAAAAACGTGTCAACACCTGTCAACATATAATTAAATTTATTTTAGTAGATAGAAACATGACATTTAATAACTTAAAGTGACCTCATTACGTATAACAGAAAAATAAAATTTCTAACCTGGCTTAAGGTTAGGATTATATTTCTGGTATGCTGGTAAAGGACGGCCAAGAATAGCGCCAAAATATTCTTCAGCCACAGCTTTTTGAAAGAAGGCAGTAACCCAACGCCTCTGAAATTAAATTTATTATTAATTGATCTAATTTAATAAATTAAAAAAAAAAAAAAAAAAAAAAAAAAAAAAAAAAAAAAAAAAAAAAAAAAAGCCCAAAAAAACAAAAAAATATATTTCACAAACACAGGAAAAACCATATTTTTTAAAAAAATAAACA